GGGAGAACTTGTCCCAAATGCACCGGGCAAACATGGAACGGGAGGAGAGGTGGCGACAGGAGGACCAGCAGGCGACTCAAACGCTGCTTGGACTAATGAGGAAGCAAACGGACACGCTCCGCCGCCTTGTGGATGTTCTGCAGGACCGGAGGCAGGAGGAGAGAGCCCCGCTGCAGTCTCTCTCTAACCGCCCTGCCCCGCCACCAAGTCCCATACCCCCCTCACCCAAAGTCCAAACACGGAGGGGCGGCAGGGGCCGTGAAAACTTTCACTCCACCCCAGCGGACTGCTATAGCACTAGAAGGCTCTCATTCCCCAAAATCTGAAAAGTCCTTTCCTACCCGCCTCACACAAGACCCCGTCCAAGTTTCACCCCCCCGTTCCATGTGTGGTTGTTAATAAAAAATACGTTTCTGTTCATTACTGTTTCCATCCTCTTCTTTTGGAGGAGAGTCTGTCTGAAGGGGGGGGAAGGGGCTTGGTAATTAGACAGGACAGTCACCTTTAGCAGGGGGCAGGCCCAGAAGCAGGGCACATACACAGTGCAGTGACTAGTTACCCTGGTCAGTCTGGGAGGTGGCTTTCATGTGGTGGGGGGGGGGGGGGGGGTTGCTCTGTGACTTTGTGGCGGGGGAGGGCAGTTTAGAAACATCATTAGCATCACAACACTAAACCCAGGTTTAAAACATTCCCGCGAAAACAGTAATGAAGACAACGGTGTTCATTAGCAAAACAGAACAGATTTTATTTTTTGGGAAGGGGGTGAAGGGGATAACTGGGTAAAGAAACGGGGGCAAGTTCAGCTTCTGTGTCCACAAACTTAAAAGTCACTGGGTACCCTGCTCAGTCTTGAAACGGGCTTTCAAAGCCTCCCGGATGCACAGTGCGTCCCGCTGGGATCTTCTAATCGCCTGGCTGTCTGGCTGGGCGTAATCAGCAGCCAGGCTATTTGCCTCAACCTCCCACCCTGCCATAAAGGTCTCCCCCTTGCTCTCACAGAGATTGTGGAGCACGCAGCAAGCTGCTATAACGATGGGGATATTGGTTTCGCTGAGATCACAGCGAGTCAGTAAGCTTCTCCATCTCCCCTTGAGACGGCCAAAAGCACACTCCACCACCATTCTGCACTTGCTCAGCCGGTAGTTGAAGAGTTCTTTTTCACTGTCCAGGGCGCCAGTATAGGGCTTCATGAGCCAGGGCATTAGCGGGTAGGCTGGGTCCCCGAGGATCACTGTAGGCATCTCCACATCCCCAACAGTTATCTTGTGGTCCGGGAAGTAAATACCTTCCTGCAGCCGTCTAAACAGACCAGAGTTCCTGAAAACCCGAGCGTCATGAACCTTGCCCGGCCATCCGACGTTGATGTTGGTAAAACGTCCCCTGTGGTCCACCAGTGCTTGCAGCACCATTGAAAAGTACCCCTTTCTGTTGATGTACTGGCTGGCCTGGTGGCCCGGTCCCAGGATAGGGATGTGAGTCCCATCTATAGCCCCACCGCAGTTTGGGAATCCCATCGCGGCGAAGCCATCTATGATGGCCTGCGCGTTTCCCAGGGTCACTACCTTTGACAGCAGTACCTTCACGATTGCCTTGGCTACTTGCAGGACAACAACCCCCACGGTAGATTTGCCCACGCCAAAGTGGTTCGCGACTGACCGGTAGCTGTCCGGCGTTGCAAGCTTCCAGAGGGCTATGGCCACTCGCTTCTGGACAGTCAGGGCTGCTCGCATGCGGGTGTCCTTGCGCTTCAGGGCAGAGGACAGCAACTCACAAAGTTCCAGGAAAGTCCCCTTCCGCATGCGAAAGTTTCGCAGCCACTGGGATTCATCCCAGACCTGAAGCACTATGCGGTCCCACCAGTCCGTGCTTGTTTCCCGGGCCCAGAATCGCCGTTCAACAAAATCCACATGCCCCATTGCAAACGTGATGTCCTCGGCGCTGGGTGTCGTGGTTTCTGACAGGCGTGTGCTACTCTCGGAGTTCAGGTCCTCACTCCGCTGCCGTAGCCTCCTCGCCTGATTTCTCTCTATCTGCCTCTGTGAAAGGTGGATGATGAGCTGCGAGGCGTTGACAACGGCCACAACTGCAGCGATGGTCGCAGCGGGCTCCATGCTCGCGGTGCTGTGGCGTCCGCGCTGTCACTGACCAGAAAAGTGCGCGAACTGATTTCCCGCCGGTGCTTTTAAGGAGGGAGGGAGGGCGGGAGTGACGATTGGATGACGACAGTTACCCAAAAGCACCCTCGAGACATTTTTTTCCCCCAGAAGGCATTGGGGGCTCGACCCAGAATTCCAATGGGCAGCAGGGACTGCGGGAACTGTGGGATAGCTGCCCACAGTGCACTGCTTCCAATGTCGACGCTTTCCCTGGTAGTGTGGACTGACAAAGTCGAATTACTGTCCTTAGTGTGGACACACACGTTCGACTTTCTAATATCGATTGCACATATTCGATTTAACTAAAATCGAACTACTCTCGTAGTGTAGACATACCCTAAATTAGACTGTGTGTTTTATATACAGTAATAAGTCTTTGGAACAGTTTTTGGTTGGGGTTGCTTTTGCACAGTGGGCAATTCATTTAGGCAAACTTTTAAAAGCACAATTTTTTAAAAAGTCTGGGGTCTTTCTACACAATATCCCTAACACAAAAATCTGCATTTTTCATCTCATTCTTTTTTTAAAAGAAAATATTACTGAAATCTCTCTAATAGGGGTATGACGTTTCAGTTCTAATTCTAGAATTTAAAAAGTTCTTTTATTGCAGGAAGGGGCATATTGCTTCAGCTATGATACATCCTTACTAAAAAAACTGCTGCATTCATAGTGAGTTAGGAAAATCAAGACTCCTAGCACAAATCCCTAAAAGGCAATGGCTTTAGACAAACTTCTCACTGGTTCAGGAAAATGAATTCATTTTAATATTCTATGATGTGTCTAAAGAATATCTTCTGATTGGCTCAGCGAAGAGGTGTGGCTTGTCCAAGTCTGATTGTCCCGGAATTGCTGGTATTTAACTAGTGACAGCCATTGGGGTCAGATGCTTTTCTATTTCTATTTTAAAGCTTGCTCTCTCTGTGATAATCCACTTTAATTTCTCTCTCTGCTATTCGACCAGTGAGAGGCTTTTTTCCTTACTTGCTATTTTAAAACCCTCTATCACTTTGCGTCTTGTTTACTCTGCTTTATTTTCTCTCTTTCTGCCATCTGACTTGTAACAGGCTAGGAGGCTTTTTTTCCTTTCTTGCTGTTTTAAAACTCTCTCATTTTGTCTTGTTTAATCCCCTTTATTTTCTCTTTCTGCCTTTTTTCCTGTCCATGTAACTAACTCTTACTTTCTGATAATCCTCTGTTTTATAAATTATTTTAAAAGGGCTTAATGCTTATTTATGCTGTAGCTTATTTAAAAATACCTTAAAATGACCTTAATGTAAAAAAAAAAAAAACCCGCACAAACACCATTTATACATTTAGTCCTAATGCTCCCCAGTTAAAATTAAATTCAAAATGGCTGCCATGCTAAAAGTGTACCTGTTCAAAATTGAGACAGGAGCAGGACATAGAAGAGGGCATGGAAACCTGTCAAAATTACATTGTGATGAAAGGTACAGAGGTCTTCACTTATTAATATTAATATTAGTAAGTGTTGAATTTTTTTCTAAATTTTACCCACTATCATCACCGTAAAAATTTTCTAAGTGAATGTTCTGCTAAATAGAGCCAGAGACCCAATTAAAAATTAAAAGGAAAACCCTTGTCATGAGCACATAAAATACCAAAACTAAAGAGAATTTAGCCAAGAGAATGTTTGTGCATAAAGGAAAAGGTCCCAAGTTTTCAGAGCTAATGGTGAATCTTAGTTCTTAGGAAATTCATATGCAATTCCCATCAGGTTTTTCGACAATTCAAATAAGCATGAAAAAAATACCATGCTTCCCACACTGACAAACAGCCAGCCCTGTTGTGCGGCTGGAGAAAGGGAGTTGTGTCTCCAGGATCTAGCTGTCCCACTCCCACAACAGTGGAGAACGGTCATCCCAGTCCAAGCCACTCCCATACATCAAGGGAAAAGGGTGTTCCTGTTCTAGTAAGACCTTCCCCTCTATCCAGGGGCTTGTCCCAGTTCTAAACCTATGTGCCAAGACAGGGTATGGGAGGGTAGGATGCAAAGCCTGTTTATGTTCTAGCCAGCCATGCTCCTGAAATGTGGAAAGGAGAGGAGTGTCTCTCCGGGTTCTAGGTGGCCCTGCCCTTGACAAGAGGTCAGGGGGTGGGGTTGCGTGCGTGCATGTGTGCGCGCGCATTCAGGCTCCAGATGGCCCTAGGCGGAGGGATAGCTCTGTGGTTTGAGCATTGGTCTGCTAAACCCAGGGTTGTGAGTTCAATCCTTGAGGGGGCCATTTAGGGATCTGGGGCAAAAATCTGTCTGGGGATTGGTCCTGCTTTGAGCAGGGGGGTTGACTAGATGACCTCCTGAGGTCCCTTCCAACCCTAATATTCTATGATGACACAGGGCTGGAATGGGTAGAGTGCCAGGGTCATGCTATAGCCAGCCAGCTATAACACAAATATGGAAAGGCAGGGAATATAGATTCTAGCCTGCCCTACCTTGGCCACAGGGGAGGGACATCTTCAGGTTGTAGACAGCCCTCATGGGTGGATCACTCTGGGTTCTGTCTGGCCACATCTTGGAATTCTAACCATTTCTGCCCACAGTGCAGAAGGTGTAGGGAGAATGAGATAGTAGCAGCAAATTCAGTTTCTATAGTCTGACCCAGCCTCATGGGGGGGCATGGAGTACCTCTGTTATGGCAGGACAGTTAGGGGAGAGGCACAATATGCCCAAGTTCTATTCAGCCCTGCACCCACTACACGGAGGAATGCGTTTGGTTTCCAGCCAGACCAACCTGTCACAGGCACTGGGTAGCCCAGGTTCTAGCCAGCCCCGACCTCATCTGGGGCACACTCCAGGTTCTAGTATCCTAGAGACCAATAACTTACTGTGAAAGAATTCCTCGTAGTCAGTTCTCTCCACACAGCAAGTGTACATGCGCAGAGCCGCTATCTTAATCTTCTAGAGAGAGAGAAAACAACACCTGTAGTACCCACCAAAAGGTCGCCATGAAGTCTGGATAAGTTACACAAGCGTACACAGTGTTCTTCTATGATCAGATCCGTGTATTCATATGTTGGATTAGACACTCATTTTAATGCCCCTCCTTAAAGCCATCCCAAGGCATTTAAAAAAGAAACATGTGAAGATGGGTCTGTTTTGTCTTTTTGATTTCCTCCTATATCTCTTAATGTTGATTTATACTATTCTGAGATTAATTTTGCACAAGTCACTTTTTAAATATTTTAAAAAATAAACCATTGATGTGCCAAAAACTCATCAAAATTTCTCTTTTTAGCTTCAAATATACTCATAAAACAAGCATGTTTAAGGTGCTAAAAGAGAATCTCAGACAAAGACCTTGGTCATATAGATTTAACGTGCCCCAAGACTTGGTAGTCTTGTTTACTGCCTTCTAGTGCAACATTAGCCTGTTCATTACATTTTCTAAAAATAGGATACAGGCAGGCCTCGACTTCACGTTTAAGTTACGAGGAACGGCACTTACGACGCTTCTACATTGACACCCGGATTCGACTTATGACTATAGGTTTCGAGTTTACGACACTCGGTCCCGCAATGGAGTAGATTGTGGTTCCGAGTTCCGACTTACGACACAATTGTAAGGAACCAATTGTGTCATAAGTCCGAGGACTGTCTATATACAAATCAGAGACAGAAGAGGAAAACTCTTAACTGCTCCCTTCCACTCACCTTTGGGAAGGGACTGGGAGAAGTAGAGAATTCACAGCACTCTCCATCCACCTGCCTTTGGGACTGCTAGGGAACAATGAACCCACCATTTTAGGTGAACCCACCCCATAGGTGAACCATGAACCCACTGTACTAGTAGACCACCTAATCAGAATGTGCACTCTGCATTTTAAGACAGCACTTCAAAATACCAAAAGGTAAATTAAGTCTGATCTGACTACAAGGACACTAGGGAAATAATTTCCAAAGGAGGAGAACAGCTTTAAGGCACAATTGTTCTCCTCATTCAGTAGTCCTGAAGTTCTGCCAGAAAAATGGAAGTTTTTGACATCCAAAGCTCTCAATCAGAATTATGCCTAAACTCTTACATGCCATAACAATTACAATTTACAATAGAAAATGCAATCCACTTGAGTTCAGACTTTGTGACAACATCAATACAATGAGAGATTATCAATGCAAAATTATTTAAATTAAGATTTATGGAAATTTTGTTCTGATGTATTGTAACCACTGCACAATGACTGAAACCCATATTGTTAATATGGACCCCGTCCCATAATCAATTTTCATCCTGTCTTTATAATCCTCCATTAAATATATAATCCATTTTCCTTTGTTTTATTTATAGTCTTTTCAATTACTCTTTTCACCATAGTACCTGAAGATATTACAGACATTAATGAAATTATCCTCACAACATCCCTGTGAGACAGAGTGGCATAATCACTATTTTAGGGATTGAAAAAACTGAGGCACAAATATTAAGTGATTTGATCCAGGATGACACTGGAAATCTATAGCAGCGATCTCCAGCATTTGCCATACGTAATGTTAACTGCCAGTTATTGGAACATTCTCATTTTTTATTAATTCAGTGTGTTATCTGGAAAGAACTGAGCAGAACATATATACTCTTGAAGAATAACCGAAAAGAAACAAGCCTCTCTAAATAAAATGCATTACCCCAAACACACACAGACACCAGTAACCACTCAAGAAGGTCAGATACCCACATTTAGATCTTTAAAGGTGGACACAATTCAGTCACTCTATACAAGGGAAGTTGAGTTACACACAAACTAAACCCAGATTTCAAATCAATGTAAGATTAGCTCAAGAATTGTCATGTGATGCTCAGCACTCAAATTCTTATTTTCATTTTATTGCTATCCTCCTAGCACCTAGAGACCCCAACAAGAGTCTGAGTGTACAGTCTAAATAAGGAAGGCAAAGGGTGGATGAAATTTTACAGGTGGGAAACAGAAAGAGATTAAGTGACTTACCCAAGGTCATACAAGGAGTCTGTGGCAAACCCAGGAAATGAACCCAGGTCTCTAGAGTCCCAATCTAGACTCATAACCATAAAACCCATCCTCTCTGTAAGCTCAAGTCCCTGAACCAAAAGAAAGTGGTAACAAAGCAGAGGCAGTGTGGTCAGCCTTTGTTGGGACCAAGAGAGGAAGCAACATGCAACGCTCTTCAACAAAACCCTCTGGACAACTTGGGAGTGGTGTTCACAAGCTCCCAAAGGGAATTGCTGCCAGCTTCCATTGCTGGAGGGTAACTGTGATGTGGAAACTTTGATGGATGAATAAAGTGAGGAAATAAGTTTTTGGGAATCCAAGTGGCCTTCACTCATTTACACACCAAAATAATAAAACTCCTACTTGTGTCAATGGAGGTCTTGTGCATAAATCAAGGCAGGTTAAAGCCTTGGGCTATTATTCTCCATATTGTGTGAGAGGACTTTATATGGGTAATATGAATGTGACTGTGCACATAAATATCCCTCCCATGTCACAAAGAACCTAGTTCTCAAAACAGATGTAAAGTAACCAACTACAGGAAAATATTAAGACTACCAAAATAATTGCGTTACCCATTTGTTATATTTCAGTGGTCCTGTGAATCCCATTGCTTCTATTATCTTTGTGAAGGCACCCACTTTCTCTTCAGATGGCTGCAGAGAATCTTTTGCAGCAAGAAACTGTAAGGTAAAACAAGGTAAAATCAAATAAGACACAGAACCACATGTCCTTATCCCAGCAATTCAATCTAATCATTTTAGACAAATAAAAAATAAATTGGAAATTTTAACTTCCGTTGTAAGTTGTCTTTATAAATAATGCAGTGCACAAAACTGACATACCAGGACTCCTGAGAACACACTACACCTATACACCGATTACTCACTGATTCACTTTATTTAGAGTGATAAGAATCTGTATACACACCTCCAGCCTACTTTATTGGGGGCCTAACCAATAAATTAAAGTCGAACTGTAAAACATTAAAGATTGCCCAGACATAGATACACTAAATCACATTAGAAGAACTGAAAGACAATTACTCAAAAGTTAAAAAATGACAGAATTAACATTCTTGCAATGTGAATTTGGTTACCTTATGTATACATATTCATATATGTTAAGGAAGAAGGGACCTTTAATGATCTTATAGTCTGACCTCCTCTATTGCACAGATAATAGAATTTTACCCAATAATTTCTGTATCAAGCTTATAAATTGTGGTGGAGCTACAGTGTATTTTTAGAAGGACATCCAATCTTCATTTAAATACATCAATTGATGGACAATCCATCATATACCTTGATAAGATGTTCCAGTGATTAATTTTTCTGATAAAAATTTGCACCTTTTTAAATTTTTGTTTTATGTCACCATTTCTAATAGGTATAGTTCAGAAATCTGCTTGCATATGCTGTACCCTTCTATACCAATATTCCAGTCACATGTATTATCCCACCAAGTCTCTATGATGCCAACTCTGTCACAGCCATGATTATTCACTAGTACTTCTAGTTCTTCCTGTTTATTCCCATACTTCTTAATGCCCTGTGCTGCTATACTGACAACCTTGAATATGCATAGGCTGCCTGGGCTATATTTCAGCACTCAAAGTCAGATGCATTCATCAGCCACACCACTGAGCAGATGATGTGGCAGCAACAGCAGCTCCTCCAGCAGCAGGAGGTCTTCTACAGCAGTGGAACCAGGAAGCAGACAAAGAAAAAGAGCAACCGATAGTAAAAGACCAGTTCCTAGAGCAGGTTTACAGCATGCAGCGTCATCTCTGGGTTCAGGAAACCAGCATGGATTGGCGAGAAAGACCTGGAATGATCAGCAGCGGCGAGAACTACTAACTGTGGTATGTAACCTATCATTTAAATCAGCTTCTGTATCAGATGACTGGAGGGTAGCTAAGGTGATGCCAATATTTTTAAAAGGCTCCAGCGGCAATCCAGGCAATTACAGGCCAGTAAGCCGAACTTCACTACCAGGAAAATTTGTTCAGGACATGATGCCTGTCTTGACTGCTACTCCATTTCTCCCACATATGCCTCCATGCTTTCTTTCATACTGCCTTTCCCTTACACTGGGGAAAGACACTGTAAAAATCTGTACAGCCACTACTTTGTTCTCTTTCAAATCTCTCTTTAGAATGTAGCTCTGCCATAATGCCTACAAACCATTGCCATCTGACTAAGCCTATGCCAGTAGCAAGCTGGGATTGTTGTCAGGCATTGTATGTGAATTTTATTGTTCCTTCGTTCTCCCAACCCGCTCCCCTTCTTATATCTTGTGCACCTGTTGTATGCTGTCGTTTTCTTAGCCTGCAAGCTCTGTGGAGCAAGGACCACCAGAGTTATTATTTGCATTATGGTAATACCTAGAGGCTATCACCAAAGACAAGGACCCACTGTGCTAGGCACTGAACAAAAACATAACAGAGATGGATTCTGCCCCAATGAGGTTACAATCCAAGTATAAGACAAGAGGCCACAGTAGATGTAAAGATGCGGGGAGAAAAGGAAACAAAACAATACTGGTCAGCAGGATACGCTGTGTTCACAGCACACCATCATTAGTTACTATTACTATTTAGCATGACAGTATTAAACATTTAGTGAATAGCAAAATTTGCTATACCTCCCATTATCTCTCCCCCCCACGCCCCCCACACACACACACCAGAAAGAGAGGGGAAGCATCCTGTCCTCTTTAAAAGTGGGGGCAACACTTCTGTCTCTTTTCTCCTGAAGGAGACATGGAAGAATCTGCCCCCAATTAGTACTTCTCTTCCCATCTCAGCCCCATCCCTCACAGGGCCTTTTGTTGGACCTTTCCCAGCAGCTCCCCATCACCCAGTTGGGGAGAGAGAAAGAAACATGACACTTAGTGCTCTGCCTCCTGGAGGGATACCTTGCAGCTCTCAAATCACTGGCCTTGGTCTGTGATAATGTCTACTCTATAACATTTAATGTTCCGATTGAGTAAATTCATCCCCTGGACTATTTAAAAAAATCATCACATAGAAACATGTAAACGTAGGGCTAGAAGGGACCTTAAGAAGTCATCCAGTCCAGCCCCCCTGTTCTGAGGCAGGACCAAGTAAACCTAGACCATCCCTGACAGGTGTTTGTCCAAACTGTTCTTAAAAATCTCCAATGATGGAGATTCCACAATCTCCTTTGAAAGCCTACTCCAGAGCTTAACTATCCTTATAGTTAGAAAGTTTTTCCTAATAGCTAACCTAAAATTTCCCTTGCTGCCAATTAAGCCCATTATTTCTAGTCCTACCTTCAATGGACATGGAGAACAATTGATCACTGTCCTCTTTATAACAGCCCTTAACATATTTGAATATATTATCAGGTCCCTCCTCAGTCTTCTTTTCTCAAGACTAAACATGCCCAATTTTTAAAATCTTTCCTCATAGGACAGGTTTTCTAAACCTTTTATCATTTTTGTTGCTCTCTTCTGGACTCTCTTTAATTTGTTTACCTCTTTCCTAAAGTGTGGCACCCAGAACTGGACACAGTACTCCAGCGGAGGCCTCACCAGTGCCGAGTAGAGCAGGACAATTACCTGCCACGTCATACCTCATACTCAGAGTAGTTATCGGTCTTTGCACCCACCTTATAGTAATTTCATCTACAGGTCTGTCGCATCTTACGCTGGGGTTACGTTCCGCAGTCAGCGCGTAAAGCGAAAATTGCGTACAGTCAAAATTACATTGAGTGTAATGGCGGGCGGAATCGCCTGCACTACAGGTACAGTATTAAAATTGTTATTTTTCTCTTTTTTGTTTTTGTTTTTGCCAACCACGTAAAGCTGAAATTGCGCATGTTAAATGTGCGTAAGATGTGACAGACTTGTACAGCACATTTCCCTAGTTTGCTTATGAGAATGTCATGTGGGACTGTGTTAAATGCCTTACTAAAATCAAGATGTAGCACATCTACTGCTTCTCCTCATCCACTAGGCCAGTAATGCTGTCAAAGTTATCCTGTCACAAGTTAAAGGTCTCTGTACAGTGATTGCTACAATGAAGCCTCTGATAATAAACAATAGTATCAAACTATTCTAACCTGATCAGTGCTGTGAAGCATTCTCCTTTGCTGTGTTCTTGCACCACTGGTTTGTATCAATCCACCACATACTTTATTCAGCTGGGGTTGGCCAGTCTCATGCCTCTGCTTAAAGTGACAAAAGAGAAGTGAGAACAGTGTTGAGGAATAAGCACTAAAATTGTGTTACATTCAAACATTCACTAATTTACAGTCATAGAATTTACAGATGAAAAAGACCTATTAGGTCATCAAGCCCACCTCTCTGGGTCCAGTGAAGGTTTGTTCCCTACTGTACATTTGGTAATATTTTGAATATCCTATGGAAGGGCTGGCAGTCTCATGCATCTTAACGTCACACAATTTGTCCTGAAATTTAATCTAGATTTTCTCTCAGATTTTTGTTCCATTAATCCTAGTTATACCTCCTTGTACAACAGTAAATAATTCCTCTCTCCTTGGCATTAACACCCTTCCAATGCCAAAGACATTTTATATGGGTTGGTGATTTGATACTATAGTTATCGGAGTCTTATAAAAATGATACACCAGGTTACACAATCAGGTCAGCCCCACTCCTAAACCAGTTACTGCTTAGCCAAGCTCCACATATTTAGCTCTTATGTGAAACACAATTAGTAAACAAACATGGGTTGTGGTGTTTTCATGGCCTGCGTGACAGATTTATATCTCCATCTAATCTAGCTGAAGTGGTTCACCTTTTATCCAGTGTCTAACAGACATGGGCTTGAACAGAAATAATGACTGTGGGCTGGGGGAAAAACAGTCAGAAGAACTGTCTGAGATTTCAGCTCCCTTAATTATAGAATCATAGAAGATTAGGGTTAGAAGAGACCTCAATAGGTCATCTAGTCCAACCCCCTGCTCAAAGCAGGACTAACCCCAACTAAATCATCCCAGCCAGGTCGTTCATTTCAGTTTTACAAGATCCCTTTTTCTAGATGCTCAGGTAGCAGCACCGGCAAGAACTATCCCCCGCCACTCTCATGTGCTAGAAGACTGTGACCTTTTATTTCATACGTGAGGACCTACACAAATCCCCAATTCTTACATGCTTTAGAATAACGAAATATCCTACCTGAAGAGTGCCATAGAGCATTCTGTCCCACTGTGCTTGTGGCAAGGTTGATTGTATTAATCCACTGCATACTGTAATCCATTGAGGCATTCCAGTCTGGCACTTCTAGAATAGAGAGATCAGCAAGCACACAGTAACCAGCAGTGAAGGGGAACATCCCAGGATTCATATATTCTACTGGAAACCAGCAAAAAGAGAAGACTGCTGGAATTTCCAGCTACATTATAATTATTAGTTGTGGGCATCCAAGAAAATCAAAACAATGCAAAGGCAGCTATTCCTATCTACTTGATGGTCATCCATAACAAATTCACACAGGAATACCCTATGCTGTTTTGAAGTCATACTGTGACTTAAGAACCCCGTAATGCCAACTGGTAAGATGGTTACATAAATATACTGATTCTGGTATGTACATTCTGATTCACCAACAAATGTCATGTGAGGTCTCAAAATGAAAGCTGGTGTCAAACTGGTCATTAATATTGTTCAATGTACGTGCAGATACTATGGAAGGAGTTTTATATATACACTGAAAATGTTTGTAAAGTCTATATCAAGGTGTTGGTCACTAGCAGAGGTGAAAAACAAGTTTTCCTCCAGACAGGAGGTAAGAAATGTCCCTCTCTCTCTGGGGATGTAAATTAAACATTGTAAACTAACACATTGGATGTCTATTTACATACAAAGTCAAATGTTAACAAAGAAATGTGAAGTCAACAGGGAAGCAGCAAACAGGAAAAACAAGCCATGGGTTGTTATCCTGTCTCTGAGTACAGACAATAAACTGTGGGGGTATATATAGGAGGCAAAGCACCAAGGAAGTAAATGGGCAATGCATTTACATTCATGAAAATGGGATGTCAGCCAACCTTGACTGATAACGCTAAAGATGATTTTGGGTGAGAAACTTCTTTAGACAAGAGGTTAATTTGTTTGTTTTATACATAACCACGTTTCCAATATCCTTACTCACTATCTCCTGAATCTCTAGTCTGATATATATATTTAAAGTGAAAACAATAATAAGTTTATCAGTGCTGCTGTGATGTTAAATAACGTGCTGGTCCTGAGCTGAATCTTACAAGTTGGTCTGTGAATTGTTCCTTTGGGGACAGCAGACCTGGTATTTCTGTGAGTGTTCAGTGGATAAGGAACTAGACACTACAAGGGAATGCTTCAAAGGGACTCAGGGTCTGGGTGCACTTACTATTAACCTGCAAAGTCATTGTTTTTTTTCTTATGCTTTTATCTGACAGATTAAAGAGCCCTTTGGAACAGAATATTTTCTCTCTGTGAAGGTACTGATACACTAATCAGGTCACCTCTTCACCTTCTTTTTGGTAAGCAAAACAGATTGATACAGTCCCCTATTCTATACGTATGGCCTACAACCCTCCTTCCTAGATGTATAACTTTGTATTTGGCTGCATTAAAATATTTTGTTTAAGTAGGCACAGCTTATCAAATGACCCAGGTAACTCTGTGACATTTTCATGTACTCATCATTATTTACCACTCCACCAATCTCTCAGATCCACAAATTCTATCAGAAGTGATTTTATATTTACTTCCAATCACTGATGAAAGTGCTGAATAGTACTGGGCCTCATACTGATCCCTGCAGAACCCACTAAAAGCATGCCCATTTGATGATGATTCCCCATTGACACCTATTTCTTGAGATCTATCAGTCAGTTCTTAATCCATTTAATGCGTGCTCTAATGATACTGTATAGGTTATTTTTTTTAATCAAAATGTTGTGCTTTATAAGTCTAACACCTTACAAAAGTATAAGTATATTACAACTACCCAGTTACCTGTATTGTCAAACTTGTAATCTCAAAGAATGAGATCTTGTTTAACGATCTATTTGCCACAAAACCATGTTGACTGGCACTAATTATATTCCCATACTTTACTCTATTGATTGTATCCTGCATGAGGTTTTCCATTATTTTGCTAACTCGCCTATAGTTATCTGGATCATCCCGCTTGCCCTTTTTGAATATTGGCATGAAATAAGCACATTTACAGACCTCTAGAATTTCCTGGGCATTCCAAGATTTCTTAAAAATTAACATCACTTAGCCAGAGATGTCCTCAGCCAACTCTGTTAGGATTCTTGGGGCTACTGATTTTAAAATGTTTATCATTAGTACATGTACTACTAGTATATGTACAAGTAACAGTCAGCATGGATTTGTCAAGAACAAATCGTGTCAAACCAACCTGATAACTTGTTACCCTTGTGGATGGCGGGGAAGCAGTAGATGTAGTATATCTTGACTTTAGTAAAGCTTTTGAAACTGTCTCACATGACCTTCTCATAAACAAACTAGGGTGGGTGCAAAACTGGTTGGAAAACCATTCCCAGAGAGTAATTATCAGTGATTCAGTCATGCCGGAAGGGCATAACAAGTGGGGTCCCGCAGGGATCAGTTCTGGGTCTGGTTCTGTTCAATATCTTCATCAATGATTTAGATAATGGCATAGAGAGTACACTTATAAAGTTTACCCACGATACCAAGCTGAGAGGGGTTGCAAGTTTTCTTTGAAGGATAGGATTAAAATTCAAAATGGTCTGGAGAAACTGGAGAAATGGTCTGAAGTAAATAGGATAAAATTCAATAAGGACAAATGTAAAGTACTCCACTCAGGAAGGAACAATC